ATGTACAAGCGAACTGTTAGCAGCTACCCGCTTAACAACGATCCTCTGTTTGCGTTGAACCTTGTATAGCCCGAAGTCAGTCACCACCTATTTTCGCGAAGAATTATGTCGGAGTGTGCGCCATCACCTCAGGAAGCTGTCTTTTGAACCTCGTGCTGAACGAGTGGCCTAATAGGCTTTATCCCCCTCCCGAAAGTCATCTATAACGCGAAGCCCGATTGGATTTCGAAAAATGAGTGTGGTGCGATGGTGACACAGACATATTTTAAGACGGCGAAGTTTTTTTAACTACAGCCCGACGTTTGAATTCGCTTTCTAGCCAAAACAGAAACCAGGTGTCCCCCCAGGCATTAACCTTTGTGCTTACTTATTGAAATGGAATAATACAAAATAAAGGTTAAACAATGAGTCAAAACAGAAAATTTGCGTAACCTTTTGCACAGTTCATTAAAATAACGCCTTTCCTGTCGACAGAGAAGCGAGATCGAGCTGTTATTATTTACTCCCACCATCTACCATTCACGGTTGGTATTTGACCGCCAGACCGTGATAATGGTAGTAGAGTTTATGGAATTTCTTTCCTCTGTTCGTTGAAATGCGTTGTGGTTGCTGACCTACCACCGGAGAGGGAGAGGCTGCGGGCCACATCTTTTAAGTCTTTAACGTTCAGGCTAAGCACTATCATAAAAAATTCTAGAGACTGGCCGTCTCGTACGCGGGTTCTGCTCCGAAAAACTCCTTTTGTTTACTAAACGTATCAGACAGAAGGCCTTATGATAACTTAACTGAAGATAAGATGTTTAATCTATAATTGAAACGAACAGGGACGAGCAGTAATTACATGAAAACGCCGTAGTATTTATAGGATGCAGATCCTATGCAACTACTTGCCGACTAAAATTAGCAGCTCTAATGTTCCTGTCAGACTCATTGACGCAAGTGATAGTACGCTAACTTTAGGAGCGCGTGAGGTTCTGTCTCTCATATTGTTCGCACAAGCATCGGTTGACGATGTTTCGTAAGTAAGCGTTTGCCCTAGTAATTTGGCAAATATAGCTTGGAGACCGTCAACCGCATTCGCAAGTTATTTTGACCTGGGTTGTACACAGGACAAATTTAACCAGCAGGCACCTCTTGACGAGGCTATAGAACCAGATGTTATGGTATGGGACGTCATCCTTTGTTCAACCGATTATGTGGAGCCACAGAAAGCTAACTAAGTCGTTAAAGTTGGAAAACTACTCCGTTTGTGACTGGCCAAGTAGGCATTAGCAGAGAGAGGGAGAAGGTAGCGGATAGATCATGGCTTAAAAGACGGATCTTGACCACATCTTTAAGTTTGATATGGTCATAAATCTCAAGGGGTATTTGAATCATGGTGCCTTGACCCCTGTGCAACAACAAGAAGCCCAATAACATTCCTCTCTTTATTTCGTCTTTAAATTTTGTCTGGGCAGTGTTATCGTCCACGGAGGAGTCGCAAATTTTGTTGCCATTACCAATAACAGAGTCTGCGGTCAAATTGGTGGGTAATTTTCATGCCATTAACCAATGCATGTGATGAAATTACGACATTTACTGACTAGAATGCGAGCGATTAAGCCATTATTGCTCTTCCTACAATTATTTGTAATAAGTATGGGACTGTTAATTCTGATGCGCATTTTGTGGTGCAATTTATGCGTTCTATGAATCTGAGACCTGCTCATCCACACTACTTTTATCTGGTGCTGCATACGAGCACGTGTGCTGAAGAGAGTTTGAGGTGTCAAGCAAGTGAAATTCTTGTTCCTGCGGTCAAGTCTGATTCATCCTCTGTCGAATTGTTCTGTTCAGGCACAGATAAATGGCAACCCGAGGTACGTGAGGCATAGGCAGCCCACGCATTAACTCCGGAGTCGCTCCTTCTGAAAATGTTTCTGAATCGTGATCTGAGGCCAATTTCACAGCCGGCAGATCTGCTGTACAGTATGATCTTTTGATGAAGTGGGACGAACAAAAGTCGAAAAGAGAACGAACACCGTTCAAGAAAATGAAAGAGAGCAAGCAGAAATTAGGCAGGATAATGGATCTGTTTGTTTATCGAACATCCAGTAACGGAATCAACCTAGGTACAACATGCTAGTGAAAATCGTTTACAAATATAATAGCCATAGTCTTTGGTCCAACATGATGACATTGCACTTGAAAGAAGCCAGCCTCATGCACATTTGGACCCAGAGTGAGACAGAGCCTCCTTTAGGCAATAGAAGTTATATAAATTGTGTGTAAAACTGCAATGTACATTGGGTTTTCAGTCACGAAATAGCAGCCGCAAGGAAAGATAACTACAGGCAACCTGAAAAAGGAAAGAGAGGAAGAATTGAGCCTCTAGTTTCGGTACAACTCCCACCGACATGAGAGGGGGCACTGTTCGTAAATGTAAATGGGGAAGATACATTGGCGTGTAGATTGAGATTGTGAGGTAAAAATCTGATAACATAATTC